TTCTTTTTTCCAAAGCCTTTTAGAGAAAATTTTCTCTGTTCTTTTTAGAACATCCAATGATCAAATTGCAATCAAAAAGATTTGAACTGAATTTTCTTTTAAAGCTTTCAGACCTGAAATCAAATTCCATGCTAACCCTGGGTTATCTTGACCCAGATTTGAACAACCTGGGCCAGATCAGACAGGAAAAAACTTCTTGCAAAGTTGATAACTTCATTAAAAAATGTAATCTTGCTTTGATATCACTGGCCTTCTGATTCAAACGGTAGTTCTCCCTGTACCAGTCAGGGAAAAACATGAACTTTCTTACAAAAAATGATAGCAGATGATTAATTGAGTTTTTAATAAGAAAGAACAGTCGTTATGGTAACTACATTTGCTCACAAATCTCAGCAAACCTTTCATTGCCTACTTTATAGAAAATGATAATAGATGAAAGAGTTTTAAATAAGAAAGAACGGTCGATATGGGAACTACATTTGCTGACAAATCTTAGCAAACCTTTCATTGCTTTGCATCTGTTGTATACATAACGTGAACAGACCGCAGGGGAGAGCAGGGCTACCCTGTAGAATCCTCATTCAAGCTATGTTCTGATATCCACTAAGTGTATCTTCTACACGGGTAAAACCGTTGAGAGCTGCTTATTAACAACAAATATAGCCTCCGTTTGCAAATTATTATTGATTCTATGATAAATGTATTCAATAACAGATAATAAAGAATTCATTGTTTCAACTATCAATATTATTTTAGTCGGAAAGAATGAAGAAAATCATGAGAAAAACAGTAAACATGTAGCTAATACAGCGAAGTAGCTTGACAGCTTTGCAATATCATTGTTCAGATTTTCTTTTGTCTTAATGTCTTGATAGCATTTTTGTCTCATTTAAGAGTTACAACAAACTCGTTTATGTTAGTTTGCATCTATCTGCAAGTCAACGTTAGTAGATAATGATATTGGAGGTTAGCATAACACTAAATTCGATTTAATTTTAAATAAAAGGAGGTTATCAGAGTAGTCTGATGCGTGGTATGATGAGAGACTACAAAATGTTTCCTAAGGCGACAATTGTGGTGAAACTAGATCTCTACGAATTTAATGGGGTAGGGGGTCTAGGAGACTAAGAGACTAGCAGCAATTGACTCAGGTACCCAGCCCTCCCTCGTGCTACTCTGGAGGCCGGGAGCTCGCTCTTCCCTGAGAACGAGGCCATGTCGCGTGACAAGCGTCCGGCTCTCTCTCTGTTGTTATGTCATGGCATCTCAGATCGTGGTGATAGCGAATCTCATTTTTCTCTCTTTTTGCATCTATGTCGATGCTGACACTCCTGCTAACTGTACCTATGAAGAAATAAGTGGATCATGGCTTTTTTCGATCGGAGAAGGAGGCCACGACAACACTATCGACTGCTCCTCCTTCAAACCTGTCTCTGAGCTTCACGTGACTTTGTTGTTTCCTGACGTCGCAGTTGATTCCGATGGAAATGTCGGCTTTTGGACGTTGATCTACAACCAAGGCTTTGAAGTAAATATAAATGGAGTGGTGTATTTCGCCTTTTCATCTTACGAGAAGAGTGGTGAAAAAGTGATCAGTTTTTGCGACAAAACCTTAAACGGATGGAGTCATGCCGCAAAGGGTTATCATGCTGGAAATTGGGCTTGTTACAGCGGTAAGATTTTATAAATTTGAGGATTTTTTTAAAATATACGAAAAAGAAGCGGTTTTTTAAATATTTAACCATAAAAAATTGCGAGATTGGCACTACACTACAACCGGTGTTTATCAGCAGAAAATTGTAAAAAGACCTCAAACCCACAGAAATCAAGCCTCCAATCGTAAATCAGCAATGCGTTGTTTACTCTTTTACATGTGATCTGTGTGTTTCAGATTACGTCGGCTTTACAGCTCGACACCTTCATCAACGTATTGTTGAACATGAAAACTCTACGATCGGTAAACATTTTTCGACAGCCCATGGGGATACAAGCCCCCTCGAAGAAAGCCAATTCCGCATTCTGAAAAAGTGGCAAGGAAAATTTGTCTGTCTTGTCTATGAGATGCTTTTCAGCAAGCAGCGCACTCCTTGTTTCAACACGCAGACTGATTCCATTCGCGCAAAACATTCCATTACCTATTGTTTTTTTAGTATTTAAACATTTTTTATTTTTCACTCTTTGACTTGATAATGACGTTAGCCAAACGTCGAAACGTCATCAACATATTTTCAATATGCTTTTACGAAATGTTTTATCGCAATTTTTCATCGTTAAAAGATTTTTTCAAAAAGTCATTTATGATCATTATTCAATGGAATGTGAATATGGGTCCCATGCTTTTAATTTAATTGGGACCATTAAATTTCAATAGCATCGAAAATGAATCAAGCCTTATACTCAAAAAACGAAAGGAAAGTCCAGACTTCTGATCTTGTTGCTAAACATGGCTGTGTACGCGCGAGTCCTGGTACGGAGGGTTTGGTCATAATTTAGATCGCGTTTTTCGTTTCCTGCGCTCTAAAAGTTTAGTTTTTCAGTTTTGGCGTCAGTATCAATTTTCAGCGCCTGGTTTGGTTTCAGAACAAGAAATGCCAGTTTTTCGGATTTTATATCTTTTGATAGATCATAAGAAAACAATAACACTTACTTCAATTGATTTACGTTCGTTTTCTTTCAATAGGGAAAAAAACTTCAGGAAAGGTTCCACCCAAAACAGAATACTTCAAACCTCAACAAAATGCTGTAAATCATGAGTTTATTCCTAATCGGGAGTTTATTGACCAAATAAACAGTGCACAAAGTTCTTGGAAAGCTGTGGTGTATGAGGAATATAGTGGGATGACAACAGCACAGTTAATTTCCCGTGGTGGTGGGCTAAAGAGGCAGAATTTCCCAAAACCAAGGTAACTCACTTACCTTACTTTCTGCCTTTCTTGGTATTTTCTTTGATTTCTTTAGCTTATGATTTTGATTTATTAACCTTTTAACTCCCAGATCAAATTTTTAATCCTCCTTACTGTCAACCACACAATTCTTACAAAGTTAGTCCAGAGAATTTAGTATTGGATCAACCAATTATCCCTAAATTGATATTTTTCTTTGTTCTCATCACTTATTTGGTTAATATTGTATTGATTCCATAAGGAGAATTTTTGTCTTAGTCATTCATGGGAGTTAAAGGGTTAACCCTTTCCAACCTGATATCAGTATGCACACTCTTTATACTGCTCCCTACACATTTCCTGTGGCATTGACAAGGATAATTTGTGTAACAATCAATAGATTCTTGAGTTTTCAATAATTTCCTTTATTCTTACTTACAATGTTTGATTCAGGGGTCGTGATACTGATTGGAGAAAGTACATGCTTTTCACTCTCAAGGGGGTTGAAGAGTGTTGGGACTCTAAGGTTATAGACTTAACAGAAAATCAAAACATCAGGAGATACCAGAAAAGCCAAAAAGGGGCATTGGATGGATAAAATCATTTTTGAAAAAGGACATTACTCTCTCTTTTCCTATTTTGAAAGTTAATTCCTGAAGTGGACAAAAAATAAAGAAGAGTTGTATAGTGGTTGTTGCATACTCTTCAATTTGGTGAATATATATCATTACAGCAAGGTGAAAGAAGCAGATTTATTGAAAGCTCAAGTGCTCCCAGAAGAGTTTGATTGGAGAAATGTTGATGGGAAAAACTATGTCAGTCCTATCAGAAATCAAGGTAGTTGTGGCAGCTGTTATGCTTTTGGTACTATGGCCATGTTTGAGGCTCGTGTACGTATCATGTTAAATGGAAGTGCAACACCAGTGTTCTCTACTCAAGATATTGTAAGCTGCTCTGAATATTCTCAAGGTTGTGAAGGGGGTAGGTATTGAATATCTGTTTGTGCTTTGTGCCAATCCACCAGCAGATAATTTATGATATACTAGCTGAGAGATAGTTTAGGAAAGAACTTAGGACATGAAAAAATTGCTGGCATGGGCCAAGAACAGGCAACAGGGATGGGGAAAAGAAAGTCTTATTTGATGGGGATGTGGAAGTAGTGGGCTATGAATTTCAGTTTTTAAGCTTTAAGGAATGGGGAATACCGTATTTACCTGTGTATAATGCGCACCCATGTATAATATGCACACTAGTTTTTTACCTCTTTTCTAAAGAAAAAAAAAGATTTCAAGACAAACACCAAGAATTAAAACTTCTATTTTTCCATTCAATTGACAAGAGCTGGGAATTCATTAATAATATGTTTACAACAATTTCTAAATAGTTGCTACTACAAACATTGCACGTACCGAGCACCTATTTAAGTCTAAGTTAAATGTTCAATGTCTTCAAACAAGGAAACCCTCAAATTCCTACTCTCAGTCTGATTCAAATAAGCTTCCTTGATGAGTGGGAAGGATGATGTCAAGGATATGTAAAGGATTGGAAGAACAGGGAATATTGGCAAGGGAGAGGGGCTTGGGACTAGATTGTATTGAAATTTTATGAGGGTAGGGGTGAGGGGATGGAATGTATGTTTAAGAAAAGAGCAATCATCATGGAGAAAGGAGGACTTAATCAGACTGGAAACCCAACCTGTGGAGGGGAGAAAGTTGTATTTCACCTTCTCCGAACTGTGAAACTGGTGAATTATATTATGTTTGTATTGAAAAGATAACCAAGAAACCAGTTGCATCTAGTAATTTCTTGATGGTCTAATAACCATTTAAAACTTAAGACTGATAGGAATCTAGTTTCTCCTAAAAGTATGACTGCTTAATTATTCATTAAATTCAGTGGATTAAGGAAATGATTGCCAACATAAGAAGCTTTGATTGTTAAACAGCATTAGTCAGTACTAAAGGAAATGTGTAGAAAAGAGTGGGGAGCATATGAATACTGATGTAACAGTGTAAACAGTTCAATTCAGTTTAAAAAATGTGCTTTGTGAAGCAGCCTTCCCATTATTGTATCTCTGGTTTGTTTCAGACCCTGCTGTCACTGGTGGGTTGAATTAGTTGTTATTTCTCATACTCACTTTGAGGGTTTTTTTTTCCTCAGGGTCCTAAAGTATTCCCCCCAACAATATATAAAAGCCAAAATTTCCATTTTTGAACCAAGGAAAAAGAGGATGTAAAACTTCTCTGTGGTTTCCCTTATTTCTTATTAAGCAAGTAGGCTAGAGACCTGAAGATTGTTATGTGCCTTTGAATCAATACATAGGGAACCCACTGAATGAATTCGCTACTGCTAAATTCTGATTTATTCCTGTATATTAATTTCTGTTTATTTTGAAGGTTTCCCATATCTCATTAGCAAGTATGCTAAAGACTTTGGTTTGGTGGATGAAGAATGTTTCCCTTATGAAGGCAAAGAAGTGCAATGTAAGGAAAAGAGGTGCTCAAGGCAGTTTGGGACTGGGTACCACTATATTGGTGGGTTTTATGGAGGATGTAATGAGGAGCTAATGAGGATTGAATTGGTGAAGAATGGCCCCATAGCTGTCTCTTTTGAGGTATACGATGACTTCAGGTATTATAAAGGAGGAATATACCATCATACAGGTGAGAAATTTTTCCATTTTTCACCAACAAGTTAATTAATTCTTTGTAGCATGGAGCAGCCAGGAGTGCTACCAGCACTCATTAGCCCTTTAAATCCTGAGAATGATTAGCATCTAATTTCTCTCTACAATATCACTGCTGAATCACACATTACTGTCATGAGAATAAAGGAAGTGATCACCAATGAAAGAAGCTTTTGATCAGTAAACAAATTCTCCTTGTTAGCACTTTAGGAAATGTATTAATAACAGTATGGAGAATATGCATACTGATGTTAGCATGTAAAGAGTTAAGGCAGGAGGAGCTAGTTCATCATAGGTAACCTGCCAATATTTTGTCATGTGCCCTGGACATTCTGCCACTAATCATTTTTACTTCTGGGCCAGGAGAGAGAAAAAAAAGACAATGAACTCTGGTAGGAAAACATAGTGGTCAAAGATAGGGCAAGTGTTGCCAATGGGTCAATGTTTCCCAGCCATTTGATATCCTGTACTTCAACACAAGATAAAACCAGTGTCATGCAAAATTCACTTTGTAGAAATTTGTGGGAGGTATTAAAATAGTGAAAAGGAAAACTCAAGACTTTGCAAACACAAAGCTTATTTAATCACATTTATCCTGTAGATTTACTAATTTTATTTGAGCCTCTACAAGAAAGTTACAAGCTTTTAAATAACTGTGAATAGCCCACATAAGTAGTTGTTTATAACTTCTAAATTAGAGAGAACTTGGTTTTGTCAGCCTTAAAGCAAGTCTCTTGGCTGTAACAGCATTCTCACATGATCAGAGGTGTGACAGCTGTAACAGCTGTAACAGCCAGAATTGAAAGTGGAACTTTTGGTCCGGAGTGCAGTTTGCAAACCACAAGGTGTCTGCATCATTGCTAGTGACCAGTAGTGGTATTGATAGTAATGCTTGTGGCTTGGTTTCTTAGTTCTGTTATGTTTTGTTTTGTTTTTAACTTTCTT